TATAAAATACAATATAAAGAAAATTTAATGTAAATATATGTTAAACAAATTTCCTAAAAGAATGGAACTGATCACAGCTTCAACAAGGACATTTTTTTTTTTAGAATAATTGTGCTAATTATTGTTCTGCATTACAAATCCCAGCCATCATAACAAAAAAACTCAACATTCACAAATCATTTGAAGTATATACTTTGGAAGAATTCTGAGTTTTGATTCGAATAAGACATTACAGAAGAGAGAATTAGTTTGTACAAGTTTATCACAGTGTTAAGAGAAAGAAACACATTATAAATTTTATACTAAAATTTAACAAAACAAAAGCCAAGGTTTTTTTAAATATAGCAATATAGTTTCTGTGAAATAAAAAAAGAAGACAATAATTTCTCCCATCTTGTGCTGTATATATTCCAAAAATCACTGTATTATTGTATGTAAATAACAGTGTTTGTGAGGAAAATAGAGTTAGAGCAGAACACACAACTTTTACAGTCTTTCAGAATGTTCATTATTTCAAGCTTTTTCCTAATTAAGTTTTTTTTTATTCACTACTATGATTCTTATAATGAGGATGCTTTCTCCTGTTTTGAGTGTTGTATTAAATACTTTTATCAATAAAATTAAACAAACTTATAGAAGAATACATGTGAGTAAATTAGGGTGAGAGGCACAGGAGTATGTGTATTTCATGTATCCTGCTGGTCACTATTTTTAGTTACATCATATTTTTCAAATTTATGTTAGTGCAAAGTATAGTAGTTTCTTCAAACATCACATATGAGTAAACATGATTTTGTGTTCTGTGTGATTTTATTTCCTTATTTGTCTACTTTGTTCAAGCAAGTCTGCCCATTAGAAAAAAAACAACAGAAGAGAATGTAAAGCAGTATGTTTGCATATTAAATATATAAACTGAGTTTCTATAAACAAAGAAGGAAATTTAAACAAACTTTTTTTCTGTTTTTGTTTTATGAATGTATATGTATCCCTTGTATAACACTGTAGTTATGTTTTGAAAAAAGTTCAGTGTTGTAGGAATCCATGCTACACGAAAGAAAGGACTAATGCAAAAAATGGGGTTAGGTTCCAACAGTTAACAAAAATATACTATTCTTTTTCATTATTAAGAGAAATATGTTTATTATTGTTTAAGCAATCAATAAGTAGTACTGTATTACACATTAATATATATTAATTTTATTTAAATGGGGGCATTTTCTTTTTTACAAAGTATCATCATTGTCTGAGTGTTTTGTTGATATTTCTGATAAAGATCAACAAAAAAGCTCAGATGATGATGATACTTTGTACTCTAATAAAATGATGATACTCTTCATTTTATTATTATTATTATAAAAATTGTTTATGTGTGACAAAATAAATATATGTTATTAATTGAAAATGTGTTCTAGCAGGTCATTTGTACCATTGAGGACTGTGCAAAGTTTTTTTCCCTCCAGTATTTGTGTTCAAATATTAAATTGTTTGAGTTGGGAATAATTTGAGAAGGCAGAGGAGTATGATACTGCTACATTTCATTCATCATTTTTATGAATGATTACTTGCACTATCAGTTTTTATTAAACCTGATGAAAAGCACAAAGCAAATAAAAATTTCAATATTCTAAAACCCATGGACAAATTTGAGACACGTGCTTACTTGAATAAAAAAAAAATATCAAATAAAGAAGTTTGTGCTTATAAGTTGTGAAATTTTGTACATCGGATTTTACAAATTCTTGAAGTATGTTAGAGCAAAACCTGAAACTGTGTTGTATGAGGAATATCCCACTGTGTTAGAGCAAAACATTGTTGTAGAAGTGCCGTGTTGTACGAGGGATACGATATTAGTTTTGCATTGTTGCTTATTTCACATAGATTTTTATACTTTTTGTAAATTCTGCCTTTTCAATAAAAGTTGGTTCTTGCCTAGTAAGATCTGGCAACAGGCTTCACCAGTCAAGTTAATCATTTCAAGGTTATTAGGTACAAGAAATTCTCAAGAGTTGGTATTGCCAAAAGTAGCAAGCACGAAAAAAAAATTTTCATTCATACCATAAAAATGGTTGATAACAACTACAAAATTAAGTAAATTGAGTTTTTGTTGTTTGGCTTATTGAAATTTATTTTTAAAAATTAACATAATCATCTTGTAATGTTCTGTTTAATTATTTTGTACCCTAAGTGCAAAACTTAAGCAACAATATAATTTTTAAGCAGACAGCCATGAAATTGTAGAAAAGAGTTTGTTGCAATCAGTACAATGAACACCCAATTCAGTAGAAAGGTGATTCGCATGCAAATATCAGGAAGAAGGCATCACAGGTGACATGAGGGCACAACTCTTTCAATAAAGTTTTTTTTTTTCCTTTTATTCCATACTGTATACATTCTACTCTGAATTTCATGTCTTCCAGGCGATTTCTTGTGGAGTTACAGCAAAAAAACAAATCGTTGCTTAAGTTTTGCACATCAGTGTATTATTGGTTATCATTACACATGTAGTTTCAAATTGTTGCAATTATTCACTTTCTTGTAATGTTCAATGACAAAAATTATCTTGTGATATGGCAATTTTAAGTATAATTTTTGAAAATGTAGAAAGATACTTTTCTGATAATTTTTTTTCAATGCAAAACATATAAAGCAAAAATATTAGATAACACAAATTTGTTAGCTTTTTGAAAGTATACAACCCTTGTATAGGATATACACACAACATTTTGCATCTAATTTTTAAAACAAAAATTTTATATATATATCAATTTCATTTTAACTTTTTCCTTTTCCTTGTGTATACTTATAAACTTTAGGTATACATTACATTAATTTATTGATTTGAAATGACCTTCACATAGCCATAATTCAATGTTTTATATCTGTTGCTTGAGTAATTCTTACTATCTATTGTGATAGCAAAAGTTATGACAAAGCTTGTCTATTAAAACTATTGAATTAATTTTAAAACATGAATTGTTTTATATATATTTAGCTATTAAATTTCTATCACAAAAAATTTATTTTCTTTACATATGATAGCAAAGTGGAATGAACAAGATTATGCTAGATAAGAGATTCCACTATATCTTATTTTCCTTTTGCTTAACTTGGATAAACAGTGGAAATACCATTTACATGCTTAAAATCTGTTTCTAAACATTTTAAATAATTTTTATGGCAATATAGGCATATTATATTTTAATTAGACTATTCTTCTAGGATTGTTTTTATTTGTAGTGGCAATATTAAACATTAGATAATATTGATAGAATAATAAATTTCTCATTTTATATTTTCTATATTGTTTAAGTCTAGTTAAATCTACATTATTAGATACATAATAATATATCTCTGGTTCAGAGTTTTTGTGGTTCCCTATTTAAATACAATTTTGATGACACTGATATGTACTGTATCTAGCCTTATTAAAAGACAGTTACATATTTTATCAAAAGACTAATCTTTAATACAAAATAAACATTAACAAATATACTAATAAAATATTACACATGGTGTTTCATAGATTAAATAAAGTAGCTTTAAGTGGCAGATTACAGTTTGTGTGTGAAATTAATACTGAAGAAAATGGATATTCATTAACACAAGAATTAAGACTTGTTTATTTGTTTTTGGCTTTACACCAACAAAATACATCCAAATTTATTAGTTAGGTTTTTTGGCAAAACTTTTTAATATTTTCAAATGTGCATACTAATAAATTATTATTGTGTATATATTTTGTATTTGGAAGTAAATTTTCTTTTTTATTTGCCCTGTTAAGATATTTTGAAAAGTTGTTTGTATGTATTAAATATTAATGGCGTCATTCATCCAAAACACATGTATATCTCATAAATTCAAAGTTCTTAACTTTCTTAAAACTTCGTAACTTGGAAAAATAGTAATGAATTTACAGAAATCAATTATAAGTTTTATTATTTCATAAGTATAAACTAGTTTAATCTATTTCTGTATTAAAATCATCTTCAAGTTGTATATATTGTTATTTTGAAGAGCTTAAGAATACTGGGAGTTGACAGGAACACATGCATTGTTGGAAGATTCTTATGTTGATAACAAATACACCAAAAAAAATTAAAAATAATTCCTGTTACACTGACAAAGACAATTTTTTGGACAAGATTGATATTTATGAAAAAATATGAAGATAAGAAACACTTATTCATACTCTGATTTAAATTAATACAAGTTGGTTGTTTATTTCAGAAAAGCTTACTCTCAAATAAGTTGCCTTTTCTGAAAATCATAATAGTGATGTAACACAAATAGCTTAATCTTCATTATTTGTAGCAGCAAAAATAATAGACATTCATATAAGAAACTCATTTATTGTTATGAAGTTAAGTAATTAAAGTCATTTTTTAATTCATTTCAACAAATCAGTTTTAAGATGTCATAGATTGAGAAATAACAAATCAATCTGAAGAAAAGTCTTGTGAAATTTGTATCTTTGACATAGTTTGGATCATCTGCATCCATTTGTTTGGATTCGTGCAGCATTATTATGCTACAGGTTTCAAATACCATTTCTAACATATATTTTATTGGCAATAGTAATTATTTAGAAATTGAAAACACTAATAAAATTTAGCTCTAAATTGTAAACTTTCATCTTAAAATTAAAAGTAAATGACAGGCAAGAAAATATAACTATTATTTATACATATATTCTGTAAGTTACTTAAGAATATAATTACTTTTCTCTATTGTTTATTTTTAAAATATTAAAGCAAACAGTTATAATTTTCAAAAGTTTGAGATGATATAATTACTACTAAAAAATTTTGATTGCTTATGAATATAGGAAAGTCATCTTTCTTATATACACAAATCATCATAATGCATATATAAATAATGTAATGTTATTAGCTAATTACTAATAATTTAGCTTTTTAATTTTCTTAAATATTTAAACAAATTATTGTTTCATATTATCAATTACATATTTCAACAATTTATTTAACTTTATTTCTTGGAAGGAGCAGTGTTTTAGTAGCAACAATTTCTGACATATTTGATAACAATGATATATTGTTCATTATTGAACACGTTGGAAGCTGTAGTAACCGAATGTTCTGGTCATCCCATCAGAAGTGAAAAACAAGATCTTGTGTAAAGTTATTCTAATGTAATAATTTATTTAAATTCTTAACTTTAATTATTTGAATATATTGCAAGTTTTACTGCATTGGCAGAGGTTCCAAATGTTTGAATATTTTAATATTCTGAATTAAATAAAATCTTTCTGTGACTACTGCTTATAAAAAATGATTTAGTGTTTTAAATTATTTGATAATGATTAAGACAAGTTATCAAAATTAACAAACATTTTAAAATGTTAATTTTTAGTTTGCTTATTTATTAAAAAAAAATGAAAGTCTTTGTCTACCAAAAATATGTTTAGTATTATTATATAATTTACACTAGCTAATTTATGTTCTCTGAATTTTTGTAAGTGCTTTTCTGAACATTTTATTTAAAAAACTGGTATTATTATGGGGCCTAAAAAGAGTGGCATGTCAAGAACTGTGTTCACTATAGAAACTTAATCAAGAGATATGCCAACTCTCTACCTTGGCTATTATATGTCGTCTGATATTTTAGGCAGATGACTTCAACGGGTCTACAGTAGATAAATCTTAGCTAAGGAAGATATAATCAAAAAGACTTGAGCTGATAAAGAAGTAATGAAAATCGCATCTGAGAAACAAAGATGTGTCATCCATGAAAAAATAGAGAAATTGCTTTTAGTTTGTTATTACATGTAAATAAACATAGTAAGAAAGTATATAATTTTTTATTTTTATGGGTCTCCAGAACGAATTAATCAAATAAAAAAAAAGTTAAATTTAAAAACTCACGCCAAGTTTTGCATAGTTTCTGGATACAAATTCACTGAATTAATCAAATTCCTACAAAAATCTATGGTAAATTGATAATCGGTTAACAAACAATTTGGATAGCAAATGTAGTCTTGGAACGGATTATGTTCATTAACAGATCACCCACTATAAAATGTAATTTAATATTTTAACAAAAACACAGATGAAAAAAGTAATTAAATTTGTTTTTCTGAGTTCTATATAAGTTTTGTGAGTATTATTATTAAAAATTTATTTCTTGAAATAAAAATTCTGCAAAGAATTATTTTAGGAATTAGAAAAAACTTAAAATTCAAATTTTCTTGACAGAAAAGTAAGAAAAACAGTATTTACAAGCAAATTTTTCTGTAATGTTAATTTAGTAAATAAATTTATTAATGAGAAACATTCAAAATTTGAAAGTTAAATGATCAATAACTTTCTTATCTCTCTAGAAGTTTATCCAAACTAGAAACAAATATTTAGCAACATGATATAATATACAAGGTGCGTTCCATAAGTAATGCAACCAAATTCATAAAAAATCATGTATTGAACATATTCTTACAAGTAGTCAAAAATCTTCAAAATAGCACCCTCCTGCATCGATACACTTGTGAAGGCAGTGTTTCCAGGTCTGAAAGACCTTCTCCGGAATGTCCTTTAGAGCTGATGTAACATAAGCCTTGATGTTTTCAATCATGTCCCAATGTTTCCCTTTCATGGCCCCTTTTAAGCAACGAAACAAAAAGTCGGCGGGAGCCAGGTCAGGACTGTAAGTTGGCTGTGGAACCAATGGGGTGTGGATCATGGCCAGGAAATCGTTGACAATGAAGGCATTCTGGCTTGGTGTGTTGTCATGATGAAGTTTCCATGTGTTCTTGATGTCACTTCGGCAGCACACGACCCTCCTTTTCAGTCATTTGAGCACTTCCAAGTAGAAAGCTGCATTTACAGTGGTCTGGCAGGTACGAATTTGTGATGGATAATGCCTCTGACGTGAAAAAAGTCAATGAGCATGGTTTTGATCCTGGACTTGCTTATGCATGCCTTCTTGGGGTGGGGTGACTTGTGCCATTGGAAAACTTGTGATTTGGACAAGCAATCACTCCCAAAGGCTTACTGAATTAATGTAAAGGTTTCGGTGGCAGACTTCCCAAGTTTAACACAAAGTTTGATAGTGTAACATGCTCCACAAAATGATCCATTGCGCAGTGTTACATTAACTCAAAACAGGGTTCACAGGAACGAACGTCCTCACCCACCAGCAGCTTGGAAGCAAATGAGACCAAGTGAGTTTTGAAGCTAACATCCCATGCCACCTAGCGCAGCAGGTTAGAACTAGATACGGCATATCATTGCATCATGAAAAAATTGGTCACATTACTTATGGAACGCACCTTGTATTTATTTCATAAGTAGTCGGGAAATAAGTTTTCATGTGTGTTATAAATTAATTTTTTTTTCCTGGAGTACTTTGCAGTAGTGATATATTTCAAAATTTTATTGTGATAGTTGAAATATGTGCAAAAATAAATTCTTTTTAAAAATAGAAAATATCACAAAATATTTTTCAATTAGTAATAGTTTTGTAATCATTTAGTGAGTGATGTTCAACAATATTGTTTGCAACTACAATACAGTTTGTTAAACCTGAATATCTGGTCATCTGGCACCCTCTGAATAGTAGTGGATAATCTGAATTTTCCAATAATTCAACATGCTAGTATTTCACAAATTGGCAATTGTTTGGTTACATGTTAGAGATCCTGGGCAGAAATTGAGGTAAAGGTTGGGGTATGACTGAGCACATTGCTATGTGTTGGGAGGTTGTTGTCTCAAGAATAATTAGAACCTCAAACTCTTATGAAATGTAATTTGGTAAACTATACATAGTCTACATTGTAATGTGCTGAATTTAACATTTCTTCATTGGAGTTAGTGCACACATTTTCAGATTGGCGATACATCCAACTGACGTATTTTCATTCCCGTGGGCCAGTGCAAAGATGGTGCACCTAAAACAAGTTTTTCATACATGAATGTGTGTAGCTTTTGTGAATTCTATGTGTATGACACGTCCCAAAAATATTACAGTACGTATATCTGAATTGTAAATGTTGACAATAAAATCTTCATTAACATTTCTGCAGGTTTTCCAATCAATCTTAACATTTTATGCTGCCATATGTTCTGGTATATGATTTTAATCTGGTACAGAATGTACTGTACATCAATGTTTACAATGTTCAGATCACATGTAACTTATTAAACTTTGGAAAAATATGAAAATGTCCAATAATCCTATATCAAAATAATTAGCACAACAGTGTAGCAGTGTTACAAACATGATTTATTAGTGTAGTTAAGACATACTTGCTAGTACTTTCTACAGCTTTTTATGATTAATCCTGTATCATTTATCTCATAGGTACCAGATTATAAATGTTTACTGTGATTGCAGAAATAAAATAATTTTCAGTATTCTTAAATTAAAAATGTACATTTTATTTCAATTGAAAGATTTCATACTTTGTGGTGACATAATTGACATATATTTGTTGCCAAGAATATCATTAATACACTAAATGATTACAATATTTTGTATTTCTAATTTTGTACTAAACACTAATCATATTAGTTCTGTAAAGTACAATTTATATATATAAATTCAAATCAATACATTTTGATATATTGGAAAATGACATTAGAGCTATAATAGAAGACTTACGGCATTAACTTTCAATGTAGCATGCAAGCATCACAATTGTATTATTTATTATTATTAATTTTTTTATTCAATTTTATTTGATGATAAGAATTACATCAAAAAATTCTTTTACTGTTTTGTTTAATTGATAAGTCTATATTTCAGTCAAATACAATAGTTAACTATAATGAATGCATCAAAAAGCATTTACTAAGTAACTAGTTAGCAATAAAATTGATTACTAAATTATTAAGTATATTTATGAAACAACTGGTTGCATTCTTGTCATCAGATCAAACTTGGAACATCTGGGAGGAAGAACGATGATGTCTTGCTCAAGCATGCTCTGATCTTCCTGGAAGTAAAGATTACTTTTCACTGATGACATGTAATAATGAATGTAAATTCAACAAAAAATCAATGTAAACTGATAAAACTATTAGGCTGTGTACACACTAGGCGTTTTAAAGAACCAAGAGTTCTATATAGGCGTACACACTCAAATACGTGTTTATAGATTTTTGTTAAAACGCGCGTTTTGCAGGCGCTTTGAGATATATGTGCTGCCATGTTACTGTACATTTCGATCGCACGTTTTGCGGGCGTCAGCCGAGCGCTTTGAGATATATGTGCTGCCATGTTACTGTACATTCGATCGCGCATTTTGCGGGCGTCAGCCGAGCGCTTTGAGATATATGTGCTGAAATGGAGAACGATCATTTCGATACTGATCTATTTATTGATGAAATCTAAAAGAGACCAACCATCGTCAAAGGATTTTATAGATATTTTAAAAGAATTAAAAAACTTGGGTTCATTTTGTCTTAGTTTTGGATACAACGTCGCAAACATTCCATGTGTCAGTCTATCTCGTAATATTGGGTGCACCCAAAATTCTCTTTGCCTCTGCCATCGTCTTTTATAGCGACGATGGAGGAGGGGCACACAAGCAATTACTTTCACGTCCATTTCCAAACTGAGCCAGTGCGTACGCTCCAAAAACGCTCGTCGAACGCCGAGCTAACACGCATTTATTAAAACGCCTAGTGTGTACGCAGCCTTAGAAATGGCACGTTTTAATTTTTTCATAATTCTAACATTTTATTGGTGTATTCTGTAACAATAATTTAATGTTTTAAAGCAAGAAAGTCAATCTTAAATGCTAAGTGATAAAATTGATATAATTTAAATAAAATTGTGAAGTTTCTCGGATGAACCTTTGTGTCCAAAAATATTAAGATGTATTTTTGGATTAAGATGTATTTTAGTGATAAAATTCAGCAATTTTTTACTTTGTTTGACTTTATAGTAATCTTTATCCAATTTTTTTTTCTGTTTGTTTTGAAATATAAATTTTTAGGTAATAATATAGTACTCTATATATTATAACAAGCTCATGGGCATCTGCTGCAACTTTAATAATGGGCAAAGGAATATTATCTGATTATCATAATTATGTCTTAAGTCAGGCCAATTAAGCTTATATCAGATAATTTTCCATACTGTTGAGTGAAGCAGAGAGGAGAATTTTCTTGCATTCGTTGGGAAATTATAAGGTTCCAACTTTCAAACTTCTTTGCTGTCAGTTAGAAGGCATGATCAAATAGGAACAAATGGCCTGTTGGACCTCAGCAGATACCCATGGGCAAGTTTGACATGACTATTATAATGCATATATACATTTTACAAAAATATTCTCTCTTTCTTTAACCTAAAAACAAGAAAAACACTTGGAGATCATTAATTATAAGAATTTTTTTAACTCTGAATATTAATTGAAATTTCTTTCATTAGCATAACTTTTCAACTTAACTGTTTAAATAAAAAATCTGATACTAAGACATTTACAATCTAGTTTTGAAATTTTACTTCATTTCTCTGTGCATAAAGATAATAGGGGAGACCAGGGCTAGTTGTCAGTTTTTAGTCATTTCTAGTTTTAGGGTTATATAATATCTATTTAGATTTAAGTGAAAATGTATACACCTACATATCTTTTGATTTGGTTTATAATAAATATATGAACATTCGATAATTTTTTGTCATAGTTATTAATTATTTTAAAAACTGTCTTATGCTGTGACAACATACCCCTAGACTGGGTATGTTGTCACAGCATAAGACAGCGTAAGGGGTATATTGTCACAGGGCATATGTAGTCTAAGTTCTCGCATTTCCTGAGTTTATTTTGGTTATGTTAAATTATGTGTAATATGACATTTACTCGTGCCAATTCTATAAAGGAAATAGATTAGTAATTTACTATTATTTATTCTGATAAAGACAAGTAACTTGAATCTTTACATATTATCTTCAGAGTCACAGTTGTGACAAACATAATATGGATTTACATCTGTACATAGCTCGTGAGACCAAACCCTCACCACAAACCAAACAGAAGGTCTTTTCTTTCTCTTCTGATGAGTCATCAGTCTTAGTGACAATTTGCCCCAAATGAACTTCCTTAACAAATTGACTCATAGTTTCTAATTTCAAAATAGAAAATTCAATTGCTTGTAATGCATATATACATTATGGACCCATCTAATAGGAAATACAGTTGTTACTCACCTTTTACTAATTGCAAATTTTCAAATGGCACAAGACATGATGCATCAAAGTTTACACAACTTGCTGTAAATCTTTTAACCGCTAATTTACGGAAAACAATGCAATGGATATTATTCAAATTTTGTAATGACATAGACGAGTGGGTAAATGAACCTACTCCTGGATGACGTGAACATTCAGTTTTGATTATATAGGCGATATTTGCACTGTGACAACTATGCCCAGTCGCCCTTATGTGTTGTTTCAATTCTGCAATGTATCTTTTAATTCTTTCTCTTCTAATTTTCAGTAATTGAAAGATTATTTAATGAACCAAGTTTATATGTATTTAAAATTAGTTCCCCCTATAATACTTTGTAAAGGCCTATTGTTTTATATTCAAATACTGTAGATGTAAATTATGTTTCCTAAGTTAGATTAATTCTTCTTGTTTGTAAATGACTTTGCTATTTGATAATTTCAAAAAGAAAAGAAATATTTTAAAAAAATTTTGATTCTCAGTCAATAATTATATATAGCAATACTTTTTTGAAATTTAAACAGATTGTTACACACATTATTCATATACAAGTTTAAATGTATTATACTTTGATCTGCATTTATAACTATTCTAAATATAGAAACAGTATCTGTGAGAGTCAGCCAAGGGTATAGGGTTAATCCTATATCACTTATGGGCACAGATTATCCGAAATCTGTTCTCTAAGTTTCGGATTTCGAGATCCGATCTTAAATCTTCATAGGAGGGCTGTAATATTCAGGCTTAATGAGGGTTAAAGACTGTGTAGTCTCTATCCAAATGTCAGGTTCCCGACACCAGTTTATCTACTTGCGTAACGCGGATAAACACACGTGAAATTTATGCCATAGATCTGATTCAGAGATTCGACAAGAGACATCTCTTAACAAAATATATATATAATTTAATAAACAAATAAACAATATTAATACAGAATAAGAAATAATCAGTAAATTCAGATGGTCAATCAAAGAACGAATAATCATATCAATCGCGACAGGAGGAAATCTATTTTTAGTCTATAACCGAGTCAAGAGAGAGATGTATTCTCAAACTATATACTTACGAGAAAGAGAGCTCACAAATTAGCCTTAATCATACGACCTGTTTACTTGGCAGTGTCGTCTTCTTATTCGTGAAGGTACTTCATTTGATAACTTAGGAGTAACTTGTTAGGGGATGACGAGGCGTTGCTCTACTGGCATATCAGTGTGGAGTCCTTTCACTCTCCGATCTACGGACGAACTCTTAAGGGCATTGGCCTTAGAGAACACTTGTGTGGAGTCTTGTCACTTTCAGAACTGTCGACGAACTCCTAAGGCCGGTGTGGAGCCAATATGGGAGACGTCTCTCCTCTATGAGATTTTCTGACGAACTCCTCGAATTCTGTTGAACTTTGCATGTATCTTCTGATTTACGACCAATTATCAGTCGAGGCTTTATCCACGTGAACGGATGGGAAGGGGGAGAAATGATGGGTAAACAGTTCCCATCGAGGCGAGATTTTTAGCAGATAAGGGAAAAACAGAGGATGCTCATGCTTCCGTCAAAGGAAGTGACTCTCCTAGCTGTTTTTCCACGCTAGAAAATGTTATTTTTCCATCCCAAACGAAAGAATATTTTATGACAAAAATTTAATATTATTTTTAAATTATTATTTTAGACCCGGGGGCTATTTGGATCTCACATATCCCATTTAAAAAATATATAAATTATTCTTATATTTATAGTTGTAAATACTTGAAATGTATACTCACTATTTAATATTGGAAGAAACCAAGACAAACAAGTACTTTAATTATTTATTGTGACATTGTCACAATGCTCTCAATTTTAATAGTGTCTTGTCCCTGTACATCATACTTTTCCTGTTAACAGTGGAGTCATGCTGGTTCATTCAGGATCTCACTCTGTTAAGCAGAAAATTTTTTAATTGAAATAACGTGACTTCTGGTCCAAACTGGAAGTTTGTATATAGATAATTGGGACTTCCTTCCCCTAAGTTTTCCTCTAATAACAGGTTTTGACTTTCATCTAACTCCTTTCTTGAGATTAAGGAAGGACAGACGGACAACAGTGGGAGTTTATACGTCTACAATTTTTGAAAGTTGTGCTCAAAAATGAAATGATTATTAATATCATATGTTTGCTATTCAGAGTAAGAATATGAACCAGAAATACTTAATGGTTTTTTTTTTTTTTTAATAATAATACAAAATTTTTTTTAGTCATTTTTGTTTATTCTGGATAATTATAATAAAATATTGATAACATCCCAGCAAAGATTCAGGAGACAATGCTTCTGTTTTGCCAATAGAAAGTTAAAGTTTTTCATAAGTGACATGATATGTACTGTACTGTTCTATGATCAACTGATTACTATAAGATATACATTTTATCACTAGTAACACCACTACAGTATGCTGCATGTTGCTGTAGAATGTGCCAAGACTGGATGAATAAATCACAAAAGTAGTATCTCTATATAAATTAATACACATATTTTAGCTGTTTGTCTAATGATTTTAATATTAAATTTTTACTTTGATAAAAAAAATTCAATGTTTTAGGTCTGATATTTTTATTAAAGTGCATTAAATGGGATTAAATTTGCAACTGTTCTCAGATCCATCTCTACATTGATTAATATGAACAAAGATAAAGATTCTAAGTTAAAAATTGGTTTTTCATTGTATGTACACACAAATCTATATATAATGGACTGCAATATAGGGAATTTACAAGTTACAACATTCACTGTTTCAACAGTTGTAAAAATTCTTATCAGTCAATGATGTATTATTGGTTACTGTACAATATAAATTTTCTACAGAAATTTAAAAACAAAATTTCTATATATTTTAAAAGTGGTTCTACTAACTCTAGAACTAGAGGAATTTCAGCATACTTAACCACAGCATACTTAACCACATTTTACCACTCAGGTTTTGTGA